CGAGGTTAACAATAAAATCATATAAGGCTCAAAGGGGGTGACTAGTGATTATTATTCAAAGAGAAAAGGAGAGAAAATACAAGGAATGCCTCAATCATTTTCACGCTTCACCAATCCAATTAATTCATTTCGAAGTAGACTCAAGGCAAATTCTAATTGAACAAATTTCAAACCAACATCTCACAAGAAACGAATATGGCTCAAACCTCACAAGGTAGATAACGTCATCCAAAATAACAAATAAAGTTCGTCAAGGTATGCCACTCATTCTCATAATCACAACTTTTTAACTCAATCAATCAATCTTCAACTATTCTTGTCATACACCAAAGTCCAAACTCAGAAAGACACAACAACTAAAATCATAAAAACTAGACCGGACCACCAAGCAAGAGAAAAGAAATAAAAGACAACCTAAGGCAAGAACTAGACCTGGTCCACCACATAGTCACGTAAGCACGTAAAACTCCCCCACACTTAAAAGCGAACAATGTCCCCATTGTCAATTCTCGGTGAAGGAGAGTAAACCATATAATGAAACACGACTCGAGATAAAAGAAACTATACAAAAATAAAAGAGAAAGGAAAAGAAAAACATACAAAGCACAGTGACAAGTCACTGTGCGTTCGGTGGTGGCGGAGGTGGGTGCTGGTATCGCTGCGCCTCCCAAGTATCCCAACGGGTGTCATGGGCTGTCCAGTGCGCCTCGTTGGTCTGCTTGAAGTCGTTCCACTCCTTTGTCTGTTGGGCCCAACGCTCGTCATTAGCCTCCAGGAATGACTGCCAACGAGAATCATTATGCTCTATATACGAGTCGAGGCTCACATTGTGCGACTCGACTGCGGAGTGGATGGCTCGGTATTGCTCGTCATTCCAGGTCTGATTCTCATCATACCGAGCCTGGAACGTGGAGAACCAAGAGGGAGCCTGCTGGGAGAAAGTGCTCGGGTGGTCGTCCATCGAGGGGTGCGGCTGATACTCGCCGAGATCGTGGTGGTCCTCGGCCTCTGGAACGTGATCCGTTGGCTCCGCTTGCTCTCCTGCTACCGGTTGAGAAGGACCCCCCATGGCTTGCTTCGAAGAACCCTCTCTTCGTGCCATTCTCTTCAACTCCTCCTCCCGTAAGTACGTCTCGTAGCATTTACGCTCAGAAAAGTGTGTGACCTTGAGCCCTTTGTTCAGAAAGCCTCCGTGGCGAAGCTCCTCGTACCCGATGACAGCAGCACCGATTCCTTCCTCCGTAGATGCGGGGATTTGAAATAGTCAGCGAGTTCGGTAACCACACGAGCCAATGTAGGGTAGCTCTTGGACCTATTACGCGTATCGACAAGGGCTTGCTTGAGAAACGGGAGTAGGCATATCGATTTCTTCTTGCACATCGCCCACATAACCAACAATTCCTGTTCGCTGACCTTATTCGCCTCTGTCTTCCCAAAGATGTTGTAAGAGAGGAATTTATGCACAATCGCGATAGGGAACTCCTTGATCAGACCGGCAGAAGGTCCCTTTCGGTTGAAAAACGAGCAAGGTGATAAGTCGGCCCAATGCTTGTCAGTTTGGAAGTTTTGGGGTTTCTGACGAGCGCCCGTTATCTTCAAGCCATAAATCTCGCATAGAACTTTATCCGTGATTTTGATCTCCTTCCCGTTTAAGCGACAAGTTAAGAAGTTTCTTCGTCATGGCTTTGAATCGTGCTAAAACACTCGAGGGCTAGTGTCCGGAAAGCGGTTAAATTCTCCATGTCCGCATACTTTTCCAAGTGAAGTTCTTTCAAGTACGAGCGGACGGCGACCTCGATCTCGTAATGCTTCAACAATGCCCAGTCAAGTACTCGGGGCTTAGGTATAGGCCGTGCGGCTAGCCGCTTGTAGGCGGCCACTTCGGAATCGTTGAAAACTGGAAACGGGATGCCGTGAGTTTGAGCCAAGGTGGGGATATCTTCCCCCGAATCGGAGTCCGAGTTGTGAGAGGTGTCCGATGACTCGGGCGGAGTTTCTATGACGGCCTTGTTTTTGCCTTTGCTCGTAGAAGGGGCTTTCGTGGCCTTTCTTGTTTTCACCATGTTGATTTGAGGATATATTCAACGAAAAGAAGTATATACGAGCGGGGAAGCTTTCTTTCGCAGTTGGGGCAATTCAACAAACACCTTGTGGGCGGAATTTATCTATAGGAGCTTATGATGAACTTGAATGAAGCTAGGCCCGATTTCAACACCTCAACTGATTCTATTCTGGATGTAAATGATTCTCCGTACCTTGAAACGCAAGAACTCACCGATTTGTAAAGAATTGTACCGAAAAACTGTGAATTCTCGGATGTCCGTGTGGAGGAGAATCTGCCGGAAGGGATGAGGTGGCCCGGCATGAAGGTGCTTCTGTTCAATTCACGCCTTCGACTTTTTCCAGGAAAGCTTAAGTCTCGTTGGAGCGGACCCTACATCATTGATGAGGTGTTATCACTTGGAGTCGTCCGACTTCGCAATCCCGCGAATGGAGAGCTGTTTATTGTGAATGGACAGAGAGTGAAACCGTACTTCGAAGGAGAATTTGGAAAGCACCACATCGAGACCATCAGTCTCGGTGATCCACCGTATCCTTGAACGATAAGTGTGCCGAGCTCGCGGCGATAAACCGAGCAAATATTTGTACTATTTGTATATATATATTTATATTAAAAAATGATTTATTACGCTAGCTTGACTCTTAATGGGGCCCAACTAAATTATACTACCACCGAGAAGGAACTTCTAGCCGTAGTTTTTTCTCTTGAAAAATTTCGATCATATATTTTGGGTTCTAAGGTGATTATTCACTCTGATCACGCGGCTTTGAAGTACCTTTTGAGCAAAACCCATTCTAAACCACGGCTCATTCGGTGGAT